TTTCTTTCTCTCATGCTGCAAGGAAAAAGCCCCTGCTCAGCTCCTCGGGATTCGTTTGGCCACTGCCGAGTTAGGTCACCACAGCCACTCCCGAAAGCTCCCACGCGCTCGGGCGCTCACGCACGCACGCGGGCGAGGAAGAGTCTGGCAACAGGCAGGACAGCAGAGTAAGACGCTTATTTGCCAAAGCATCCATGAGAATTTTGTTTGCATATTTTTCTTCAGCTGTAAGGTTGGAATGTTTTTGACAGTGAACTGTTTACATTCCTTATTACCAAAACATCTTTACCATGAAATACACATACGACTAAGAGTTGCTGTTCTCTGCTCTAAAATATAAAAACTGCATAAAGAAAAAAGCCCAACGCCAAATGATGAAATAGCTGACCTAACACAGTGTTGTTAGAGGCACCTGCTTTGAAACTATTTTCAAAATCTGACCAAAAAAAAAAAGATCATGCTTCAGCATTTGATGCATCAACAAATTCAACCCAACAATGTTTATAGAATTCAAAACAAGACCGATGAATGCGGTTATGGATCCTGATGATGCCAATTGGATTCAGCAAACTAAGGAAGAAAGCCTGAAAGCACCAGACATTAGGTAAAGCAAACCCTCGGCTTCACTCAGAGAGACAGGATGCAAGGGTAAGTCTGTACCTCCCCAAACACCCCAAATTAAAGAAGGTATTAAAAAAACTGAACTGGGAAAGAGAAGGGTGACATAAGCTGCCAAAGTTCTTCCTTAATAAATTAGAACTGAGGTGTTACAAACTAATTTCAGTAACAGTCGTCTTTCCAACCATGCCAAAAATGATTCCTGTTAGAATGATCATACAAGTAGCAGAGATTCTAGAAATATTTCAGCTTTTCAAAACTGAGTGAGAAAAGCATTTTGGTAAAGATGTGTAGAAAGGTCAAGAGAAATTTCTACACTAGTATCAACAGTCAAGTGCATATTTCTTCTATAGAAATATTTTTAGCATAGGTTCCATACCACGATTCAATGATCACTTGTGCAGTGTCCTGACAATGCTCCTAATTTGTTCCCCAACAGAGATTTATGTACCACAGGAACTTCCTAATAGAAAATGCCCTTTAATGACAAACCCTTGCTTATTAAAAATTAGTTTTGGCAGACTAACACTTAAACTATAGGAAAAGAAAATTTTGCAACAGAATCTTGTAAGCACCCTTATCTACTGAAGTCTAGTTAATGGCTTTCTAGATTTCTCTGAAGAGCAGACTAAATGGTATGAGGAAGCCTGGAGTTATTAACCAGCATCCTTATATACTACAGTAGCAATTGAACCTGATTTCCATTCAAAGACATTACCCAAGAGGAAACCAAAAACTAATTCTTAATGTTAATGTGAAGATATAAGATTTAAATTTATTTCCAGGAATTACAAGTGCATTTTGTTCATATTAGCAAGCAGTCTTTATACAATCCATTCTTCACTGCTGCCAAAATAAAATGAGAAAAAGACAGCAGAGATATGAAAAGCTAAAAATAGAACTATTTTTCCTAAGTTATTTGTTGAATAGCATTTCAGTTGAACACAACTCAGAGGTAACAATAGATTATTCTTTTTCTCAATCATAGGCATGTGGCACTTAGACAATCATCTTTGCACAGAAAGCTTTAACAGTCATGCGAGGGCACAGTAATTATTTTAAACAAGGCAAATTTCTCACCACAGAGAGCAGTGGGGAAAGAAAAGGAGGCACTGCACTGGAACATAACACCTAGTAAACTCCACATTATACAATTTCAGTAACAAATACTTGAAAAGATCATTAAAAGGTATACAATTTTAAATGTTATTTAGTGCTAGCTTTGTTTGGTTGTCCTAACTCAGCATTATCAGAAAAGTTTGATAGTACTTGACAACAGAACAGTACTTCATGTCACGAGCTCATGGAGGCTTGATTACAAATCACCATAGTGTAGGTTGCAAGAAATGAACTTGAGATGCTGACATGCTGTAGGAGCAAAAGTAAAATCAAACTTTCTCATTTAAAGATGCAGTGTTCCTCTCTGCAAGAATTCTCAATGTCAGTGATTAGATTCAAATGTAAAAACTATCAATCCTCATTTCAAGCATTTCATTGGTATGCAAGATGTAGACTGAGTTTATTAACAGCATATTTTGGTTTCTCACTTGCCACCAGGCACGGCTGCCTGCCCCAGAGGAGAGCACTGGCCGTTGGGTCATGGTGCCACTGTGGTCTTTGCCAACCCTCCACCGCACGGTGAGCTAACAGAAGCTGGCGCGGTGCCACGTGTTCTCCTTGCACAAGTCGGATAAACACCACTACATGAACTTTGGAAGTACTGTGCCTCCAACATGGTTAAACTTTAAATGATCTCTTTCAAAAAAAGCAGGGAGAAAAAAGGTACAAATTTTGTCAATGCATGGAAAAATGTTTCTTAGATGAATTCAATTAAGTTGGGTTCCTATGTGGCTCTTACACTGTACAGAATACCTGTATGTACAGCACAGGACACCCAAACAAGTGCATAAGCAAGATTAACATGAACACGACTTATGCTGCAATCCATAGCATAATGGTACACACTCTGCTGGATGCTAACCAACCATTTCTATTTAAAAAGGAAGTGCAAAAAAAATCTGGGATGTCACTGACTTAAAGTGCCCTGAATAGTAGCTTTTCTAAAAAAAAAAAAAAAATAAAAAAAAATGCCAGCGACTTCGGTAAAGTCAGAAAAACATAGTTCATGGTGTAAACGTCTTAGAGGTTAATGAATTATCTTCTTGGATATTGATCCAGGAGTGAAAGGAACCACTGCATCTTTCAAACCAGAAAGCAAGCAGTTAAAACACGGGCAGCAGTAGGTGCACGTACAGTACAGTACTGCAACAGGTCAACAATGGGCATTACGCATAGGAGTGTCAATTACAATTCTTCAGGCTTAAAAGATTCATTGAAAGCATGAAAAGCCAAAACTACCAGGAACCGCCCTCCTGAATGGCTCAAAGGAGTTAGTGGATAAGCTGAGAGAGGCCACAAGACATGACCAACAATAAAGAACTGGGAAGAAGAACAGCAACGTTTGAGCATGCCCAGTCCTTTAAGTCCTTGTCCTACAAAAGAGAGCAGAGACACATTTCAGTGAAAAAGGTTTAACATTGCCTTGCAAAACAAGCACTTTTCCATTGCTGTGCTCTATGCACACTATATTTACCATGAGGCAAAGACAGCAGGACCAATGTATGTTAAAAACACAGTGTGAGACAGTGGATATGAGTACATCCCATTTTAAACTAGAATTTTCAATCCTCAAAATATGAGAAACATTAAGCATAACTAATCAATGAAGTACATTATTTGGTTGTCTAAACCAACAGTCTGTTATCTTCACATTGCTCCTCAGTTCCAAAAACTACAGCCCAGAAGGATGTTTTGCACCTCGAGGAACAGCCCAGCGAGCAGAGCGGGCTGGGACAGCACGGGGGGAGTGCAGGGGAGCAGAAATGCACAGGAGGAGATGTTGCTGCCCATTTTAAGCCAACTCCTGGGAACCAGCCCCACTAGGATGTCAAGCAGTTATGTTTAAACTGTTGTGCTGTGGCATAGTTGGCAGTCCTAACCACCAATGACTCGGGCAAATGACCAGCATATCATTATCAAGCTAAGTACAGCATTTCAATTTCAGGATTGTGTTGGCCAAATCAACTCTGCACAGCAGCAGCTGAAGGTAACATTTTTAGCAAACCAGAAATTTCCACTAGCACCAGATCACTGATATCTTTATCCCTAATCCCTTTATCCCTTAATCCCTAATACAACCTAGGTAAGTATGGCCTGGGCAAAGAGGCAAACAGGAGAGATCACAAGCTGTGTTAGCTACTCGCTGTCCCTTCTTTGAGCCACAGCCTCTTAGCAACAGGTTTCATCTTGATCCTAAAAATTTACTTAATTTTATTCCACAACGTGTCCATGAACAGCTCGTGCTCCTGTACAGAACCAGCTTTAGAAACATGGATGGGCAATTAGCACCAGGCACAGTACTGTGTCCCAGGTCTATTCCTACTGGTCATGCCCAGCTAACAGAGGCAGCTGTGTAAGCCTCAGATTTACCCAGCTGGTAACTATTATAACAGTTGCAGGTGTCAACCAGAGCAAGCTGAAACAACCGAAACACAGGATTCATAAAGATCTAAACTACTTCTTTTGTGAGCTCTGTACGTGAGTATTCGAGCCAGTGGCAACAGCAGTTACCCTATTTAAGTAAAAACTGTATTTTCAAAAGTTTCCTCCACCTTTTCTTTCTGTCTTTCCTCTGAATTCCCCATTAAGTAAAAATCTGGGGGGTATATCCAATGCAGAAACTGAAATCCCATTTTTAGTACAGAACTATTATTGCTTATAGCAAAGCCACGAAGCTCCTCCACACTGCCAGCAGAGCTGTGGGTTTCTGGCAGTGAGGAAGTTCCCTGGCTCAAAACTTGACCGTCCTGCTGGAACTGCCCACACAGACCTGTGACTGTGGAATGCTGCTGGGATGGAGGACAGCACAGATAGCGTAAACCAGGCAACCTGGATTGTTGTCTTTGGTTTGTTTTTCTTTCCCAGCCATAAAAATTTGATACTTTTAGTATCCTAGATACCTATTAGTATCACAGAAGTTTCACAGGTATGACAAAAATGATTCAAGTCAGTATTTGATCAATCTAGTATGAAACTCCTGAGACTTTCAAGCCTTGTGGTACAGGAAGACCAGTTAAGATCACATTAGGAAGATTAATCATAATTAATTTATGAAAATTTAGATACCTATTCTTACTCACACTATTCCAGAGTTATTTAAAACCTAAGATAATTCATACTGAAGCTTCGTGTTTGGATTTTTCTTTAAAATAATTTAAGAGATTTCTTCTCGATACATTACATTTAGAAAGAGGTTTCTTTAAATCCATTTGCAGCCATATGACAAAATAATCTGAAATATATTAAGAACCGTCCCCTTAAAATATTTTTGAATAAAATTTGCATTTCAAAGCATTACCATTGCTTTTAGCCTAAGCAGCACAATTGAAATGTAATTCTTACTCCTTACATGTAAGCTACAAACTAGGTGAACATCAAGGTCAGTTGCCTGGACTTCACATAGACCTTCGATGCTGTGGCCAAACAAACTGCTCCTTCAATAGCAGAATAGGACTGAGGTCAGGTGAGCAAGCACAAAACTGTCCTTGGACAGTGAGACACCAGGGCAATGAAAAAGTAAGTTCTACATTTCACTAGCAGAGACAAAGTCCTGAATTGTTCCCCCCGCCCAAGTGATTCTGAATTGCTGTGACTTTACCTCTGCACATTTAAGATCGGTATCCTGGCTGGAATCTAGCAGTTTCCTCAAAAATCAGTTCTTTCAGCTTTTCCTTCGGCAAGTCATCCAATTCCATATCAAACTTGAAGGGTGCTTCAGCTACAGGCTTAACAACACAAAGAAATATTATTACTTCAATATTCCTGTTCTGTTGAGTTCCATGCAGTCCTGGTATGTGTGGTGGAAAAAGTCTGAAAATGCCCTTCACAAAATCATCTAACACTGTACAGCCTTCAAGGCAGAACTCTTTCTGTTAGCCCTGTGTGTTTTCTGTTAGTGTACCAAATTTTCCTTTAAACCACAGTAAGTAGTTACTCAAATCTAAACCACAAGTTAAAATATTTGTGAAAGGCTCGTAACTCAGTATCTACCTGAAGAAAAGAATTATCTTAAACATTTGCATTTTTTGGAGAAAAACGTATCTGCCCCTTCGGGAAAACTAGCTTATTTCCTCCTCCCCTATTTCTTCACTAAAAGTAACCAGAAATCTCCTCAGATCTGTACACTAAGCTACAGTGAGTTCTGATTCTTCAGGGTTTTTGAAGCATAATCCGACAGCAAACTCAGCCATTCTCCTCCTTTATCTCTGACATTATGAAACGAGGCCACGTGAGCTGAGAATCTCTGCTCTCTGGAGAGTACACCTTACATCAATTTGTGTTGCATCTACAGAGTGTTGTACTAAAGTGAGAAATACAAAATTCTGATAAATTAATGGAACTCATTCTTCAACTCCACTAGGGCAGTAGAAACAGAACCCTTAAACTAAAGCAGAAAACAATCTGTTGTATCATTTAATCAATGTTTACATGCTAACAACGTCTTTACCTCATCACTGGGATCATAATACTGCTCCAGATATGGATGGGCTAAAGCTTGCTCCACTTCAATCCGCTTATGAGGATTAAAGGTCAACATTTTATCCAACAAATCAAGTGCTAAGAGGAAAAAAAAAGAGCAAGAGTTTAATACACACTCCACAAAAGCGTTACAAACACTGATCTTACACAGAGAACACACACACTGCCCTGTCCTGTGCTAATGTACAGCTAGAGTTCCCCAGCTGCAGGAGCAGTGACAGAAGCAGCAGACTGTGACCTGTAACTTGGGAAAAGCGTCTCTGTGCCTGTCCATCCATCGGCATTCTTGGGCTACAGTTGCCTTTGGCACAACCTGCTCTAACAGAGGTGTTACCCTTCCAAGGTCCTTCAGCCATAGCATGGTTCTCAAGGGAAGAAATGCACAGAAGCCTATGGTACAATCTGGTCTTAACTACAGCAGAAATGAAACAGATGAGATTTTTCATTCTCTCAGCAAGATGCTTTGGATTTCCCTGCCAAAATCCAAACCAAGATAGAGCTTTTCTTAAAGAAATAATTAAGAATATGTTCTTATTCTGAAAAGAAAACTTGGCTGCTTATGGACAAAAATGTCATCCAGAAGTGACTGGGAGATCTAGATCATCACAGTGAACTATTCCAGCACAACTAGCAGCACAGAAGATAATCTCCAGAGAAGATGCAAATGTATTTATATTCATGAGATTCAGGCAAAATCTGTTGAAGACAACATGTAATCCACAGAGAACCTGAAGATCCAGTAAGCCAGAGTGAGGTCTGATGAAACTCTGGACAAATGTCACAAGTCAGTGCTACTGTAGCTGTTCAGCTACTTTGTAACACATTTCCCTTTTCCAAGAAAACAGAATGATTAGAGGCGCAAGAAGCCCAAGATATCTGCCATATCCTAAATTCCATCACATTTCTTCTCCTCACCACATCATTTATGAACCAGAACTGTAACAGAGGCTTCTTGCTGCAGCACAGCACTTGCAGCTTTGCAGCAGGATGAAGTGCACACCCAGCACTGCACAAGAGACAGACCTTTACAGCCACATTCAATAGCAGCTTCAAAAAGCTTCAAACCTGCACCACAATTAAGGCTCAGTATTCTGCTGCAGCTCTCTCAGTGCTGGAAGCTCATGCGCTCACCCTGTGCCAGAGCACATCCTGCACAAAGCTGTCTCTGAGTGACTGACAACAGCTCTCAAACACTGCTCTGAGGATGCCCATGAGAAGGTGTTGCACCAGTCAGCAAACAGCACGTTCCCTCAGAGCTGAGGTACCAGCACTGCTGCAAGCTGAGCTGTCAGGAGCCCACGGAAGGATTCTCACACTGATGAGCACTGGTATAAAAGCAGAATACATCACTGCTGTTTCTCTCAATGACAAGGATAATCAGCTCCACAGTTCCATCTGCAGAAATCAGCTTTCACATGGTACTTCTGCACTTGATCATATCCACTAAGAGTGAATTATCCTATCAGTTAAAAGAACCCTGACTTATGAATTGTGTCAGAGCAGTTAGAACAGTACTGTACTGTGAACACAACCACCCCCAAACTGTGTGAAGTAGAGTTTAAAAGGCAAATTAATAGTTATCTAGCAAAATCAAACCATATTTACTCTTTACTAAAGCCTTGTTAGGGAAGGCAACAATTACTACATTCCTTGCTTTTATAACTTTTGCTCCACTTAGCATAACAATGTTTTAACCCATTCAATTTTTTAACCTTTCATAGTGTCCAAGGACCTCTGCCTTGACTGATACTGCCCTGTTTGATCTAGAACTGACACAGTCTGCACAAACTCCACCCAGTGCAGCAACATGCAGCTGTCTCCTATCTGATGTTAGAAACAAAGTTCAAGACTTGTTTGATGCTGATATCAGAATCCAACTCCAACATTCAGTACTTGAATAATGTATTGTGGTTTCAAAGACAGGCACAAGAGTTTGGATTTTATATGCAAATTAAAGATCAAACACCACAATAAGTAATCTTAGAATTACTAAAAATGGCTTTAAAAAGCTAAGCTGGGTTATGATTTTATATTAATTTACTGTGCTGTTTTAAGGGACCTGCATGTTCTATTTCCAAAACAGAAGAAGATAAACTCTTAGTTAAAAATTCCCACCCTGCCATTACTTTGGTACAATGTAATAGAACATAAAATACCTTTGGGGTCAGCATTTGGAAACAGCCTGTTCCATGGTACCTTATTTTTGTGTGGTAGGGAAAAGCAAGTATGGCCTTTAAATTTATTATACAATTCAAATCTTCTTGGGAAGGGGATCCAAGTATACCTAAAACAAAAAAAAAATACAAACAATAGTGCATGCTATGAAAAGCACATTAACACAGTTGCATCACATCTGCTGAAACTCAATTAAAACTGCTGGAAAGATGATTTCAGACTAAGTGTTTTAAGAGTACAGAATACCCAAGAGCTATTTTAGAATTATTATACAATTCAAATCTTCTTGGGAAGGGGATCCAAGTATACCTAAAACAAAAAAAAAATACAAACAATAGTGCATGCTATGAAAAGCACATTAACACAGTTGCATCACATCTGCTGAAACTCAATTAAAACTGCTGGAAAGATGATTTCAGACTAAGTGTTTTAAGAGTACAGAATACCCAAGAGCTATTTTAGAAACCTTCACTAAAATTGTTTATTTTTTTCTTATAAATAAATGCATTTGAGTCTTCTAATGACCCGTAATCTGGGGAAAAAATCCAAATAAGTTATGTATCTAAGAAAAAAAAAAAAGTAACCTGGGCCAAAGAATACATTTGAGCATTTTTAATCTTTTATTTTATTTTAAAAACATCTCTGCTGATATAGCAAATAAATTCGTTAGGTATCCTCTAGCTGTCCCGAAAGCAATGATCAGTTGTAGAAATTGCTCCAAAAATAACTGCAGGGAACAGCTGATACTCCTACAGATCCACACCTTACACACTGACCCATAGGAGAGAGACCAGTGCAGCTGGTAGAAAAGATGAAGAGAGACAGGTGGATGTGGAAATGCTGCTTTTCCAGAAAGCTTACCAAGGATATGGTTAAGTTGGTCAAGGTAGTGTTTTCCTGGAAAGATAGGTCTATTGGAGAGCATCTCTGCCAGAATGCAGCCCACTGACCAGATGTCAATAGACTTGGTGTAACCCTGCAAGGGAAGCACAAACACATTCTTGTCAAACTTTTGCATAATTGCAGCACCATGTTACTGTAGTACATCGTGAAAGTGCACACAAATCCTTTTCTTGTTCAGATGAGTCATGCTTGTTCATGCTGTTTGGTTTTTCTGTACAGAATGAAAGAACTAAAAATGATATATCCAAACAGTACTTTGAAGGGGTAGCAAGAACTCAAGTGTCCAAGATATGCTTTCTCCAAGAGGATTCTCCAGGTTTAGCTAAATCTGCTACCAACTCCAAATTTTTGAGACTCCCTAATTTTACGGGAAATTTAAACTATCATATTTGGAAACAAGGTATTCCTCTTGCTTGCATGTTAAACACGTGTGAAGAGCAGCGATCCCTCCTGAGAGGATCTAAGTAGCACTCCAGGGGGGCAATGGCAGAACAGGCTGTTGGTTGGCAGCTCTGTACAGCACAGCAGGCAAGAAAGTGGTTAAGATGATGAGAGAAGGCCAACAGCAGCCAAAGGGATATAAGGAGAATGGAACAAATGGCCACATGTTCACATGGATGGGTAAGCTGTGTCATCCATAAGCAAAGGCTTTATTCAGGAGCACAGCAGCAGTCCCAGGGTAACACAGGGGAGCTCATCTCAGGACCCACTGGCCTGTAAGTTCCCCAACCTCACTCTCCTCTAGCCTGCTGCCCACTACTCCCACCCCACTAGCTCCCACCAGAAGCCTTGCTGGACCCACAGCCACCTCGGCACCAGCTACCTGGGACGTGATCCCTTCACCATTTGTTTTCAAGGCACCATAATTCTAAAAGGAATCAGGCCTTGGGCCAGGAAGTTTTACGTTGATCACCTCTTAAAAACCACACAAAATATCTTCTGATAAATGGATGTGGACAGTCAGAAATACACTTAAGATGCCCTATGCTGTGCCCTCAATGCGAGTTTAACCTACAAGATGTGAGGTTAAAACACAAGAAGCTGTGGGCAAACCCCTCAAATTGGTCAGATGTCTGTTTTCTGAAAGGGCCTTAGACACACTACTGCCACAACAAACCAAAGCCACTAACCAGCAGAGCTGTAATTCCACAGGAACAATAAAATTTTTGAAGAATACAAAATACAGAGCCAGTGTCACACAAGTGTTTGGCTAACAAGGGTATGGCTGTAGGAACTAACGCAGGGGCTGTGAGGGACACCATCACCCACACCACACAGGGCCTGGGTACACCTTCAAATGGCCACAGAGCATGACACGAGTTCCAAGTACATGAAAAGCAAGGAATGATTCTATGAAGACTATGGGAACACAATTAAGACTGACACACAACAAAGATCACATGTCATCAGAATCAGATTCACCCTCATTATAGATTCTAAACCTAAATTAAGATGCCAAGATAACATTAAGGCAACATTTGCAAGCCTCAATGAAGGCAGCAGTGGAATGCTCATTCCCAGCCTTCTGTCCTGCTCTGTGGCAGAGCAGCTGATGGAAGCAGCCTCAAGGAACTGGAGATGTGGGAACTCATGTACATGATTACTTAGTTGTACCCAATAAATGATTCTAGAAATCCATTACCATTTTCCCCCAAGACTATGCACATGTTCTAGTCCTAAACAAACAGAAGGGGGGAAGCACAGTTGGTACTTACAGGGGAATAACTAGCCACTGAAGCACCACGGCAGCACTAGTTGCTCTTACCTTAGAATTCAGCATGATTTCAGGAGCCCTGTACCAGCGTGTGGCCACATACTCTGTCAAGAATCCTGTGTGATCATGGTCGGGATCTGCAACGCGAGCCAATCCGAAGTCACAAATCTGATGGAAAGAAATAAATAGGGAAAAAGGCACATTAGACCTACATCTTCCAATACTACAACATTACTAATTCACCATTCCCCAACCAATGATGTAACACCTACAGGCATAGTAATGGCAACATATATTTTCAGAAACAAACTGATACACAAAGGTTAAGAAAAATGTTTTGGATCAATTACAAAGAGTATCCAACTTCCATTCAGGGGTCAGGAAGGATAAATAGATAGGGAAAAAAAAGATGCTCCTGATGCACAATTTGTGTTCTACTATGTGCTTACTTAACAGCACCTCTGCCCTACAGGTAGCAAGAGATACTGCTTTTATACTTACATACTGCATACAACAGTTTCAGATTTCCACACAAAGCGTATTTGCTTCGAAGAATAAGTACTCTCAGAAAAAGAAGACATCAAACGTAGGAATGGCAAACAGTCAGGAGGTTTCTCTGCTGCATGTTCTATAATATTTACTCTTTAATAGTTAATTGTGTACACTGGTTGTATTAAAAACATGAAGTAACAACATGTTGTAGTCAGTAAAGACAGCATGGATAATCCTACCAAACCCACAGAAACCTCATTGCACCCTGGCAACCTACTCCTTAATTTTCCTGGAGGGACAGGCTGTCTGTGAACCGACTGATGGATCAGTTAGGGAAAAAGTGATTCAGCTGCCTAAAAGCTACACGTGAAAGACAAGATTCAGCAGCTGCCTGTTAAACAGAGGGGCTGAAGAAAAGGCAAGGATGAATGTCATAAGCCAGGCAGCAAGGGATGACTTCAGCTACATATTAAAAAAATAAAACCAAACCCCTGAATCCTTGGAAAACAAACCCCAAAAGAGCCCTTTTAAGCATGTCAAGGTTTTCCCAGGCTACAGGAACAGAGCAGCTGCCCTGTGTGCAATTAGCAGCTTACATAAAAAGACTCAGCACAAATAGAAGAGTCTCCTCTAAAGACAGAGGTGAAGAAACTAGAGGACAGCTTAGGGACTTCAGAAAATAATTATGCAGGCAGGCAAAATTGTTGTAATCTCTTCCTTCTAACCTCAGGAAAAAAGGCTAGATAAGACTGCAGGCAAGGAGACTTGAGCAGAATTTTAGTGTTACACAAAAGCAGAGGGCTAGGGCTTGTTACTATTAAAACAAAAGAAGAAAGACACTCTGGTCCACAGTGAGGAGAAAGAACTGAGTTACAGAAGGTGTCTGTGAATCTCTCAACTCAAGTAGAAAAACTCACATGGGATGGAAAGGAAGAATAATGACGAAGAGAGCTCATTAAAATGACAAAAAGCCCCTGCTGACTGGAGCAGAAACAGGTTAAGCAGAAAAGAAGAAACCCCATTAGTGAGAAAGGCATCGAAGTTGAAGCTGCAAGAACGAGCATTTTGGTTGCAGAGCTGACAGGAATGTTAGCACAGAGTAAAAGAAAAGCTGAAAAGGCCATTGCTCTGCCTGCAGACCCGGGTGAAGGGACAAGCACAGAGCTGTACCCGGTGAGGGCAGACGGTGCTCGCCCCGTGGCAACAGAACACATTTAACAAAGCAGCTGCCCCACTGGGAGAGGACTGTGAGTCCATCATGCCCCCAAAAATAGTAATGGGTAGAAGTCAAAGCACCAGGAGAAGGTGGTTTCTAGGCTTCTCAACCAGAACAAAAACAAACAAGCAAAAGAACCTGAGAGCAACATAATGACAGGCAAATTTTCTTGCCATTTTGACTAAGTCATAGCAGAAAATAAAAAACTGCATGATGAAAGACCCAGGTATGTCAGTCAGTGCTTCATGCCTTGGGAGGGACAGAACTGATGCTACTGAGAGAGAAGAAATTACTTCTGCACTACATAAATAAATAAATAAAATGTCAGCATCCTATTTATATATTTAGCTTCCATATCTTGAAAACAATGTTCTTGCAATCAGTGTCAGGGATGGCTGTTTTTTTTAAACAGAGATGGCTTAAAATTGGATGAAGCTATCAAGCAGATGGGAAGATTTAGGAGGATCATGTACATATGACCATTTGCTAAGCAAATGAAATGACACCCAACAGCACTACTAATATACTGAAATAACTGCAGTTGTATCCTTGAGCAGCCTGTGCATGTGTGTGTGGATTTGTATAAAAGTAAACAGAGAGGCTTCCAACTAGTTCAGATGCTACTGGTAAAATGGTATTTAAACAGTTCCATGTCTAGAATAATTGGTAAAATCCTGAAACAAACAATAACTTGCAGTTTTCCTCAAAAAAGCCCCTTTGCCATCACCTTCCTTTCAAGCCTGTTGCAGTATCTAACAATTCTTGGCTGTTTAGTATTTGGGAGTTTTCACTATGCAGACAGAAAAGCACAACTTAATTAAAACACGAACACTCTATAGCAGTATTATTTATAAGCCAAAGGAGTAGATTCTCAGAGTAACTTGGAACACTGAAGGCACTGCAACATACAGCTGAGCATCTGTTTAAAGTAAGTTTGGCCTCATTTTCTGAAATTTTAATGTCACTGGCCTAGGAAAAGTCTATGGTCATGAGAGTTTCTATGTAACTTCATTTACTGAACTACAAAACAGGCCAAATTGTGGCATGCACATCATGATATCATGTGAAAATATTTCTAAAAATGTTAGATACTATTTAGAGTATATTCCGGCCTGTCAGTGGCATGTCAGTATACATTAACCTCATGCATGTGAAAGATGCCAGGCTGCAAAAGAGAAGACCAGTATCTTTATTACACAGGATTCTCACTGGAGAGAGATTCCAGAACAGTGGTTTTTATGGAATCTCAAATCTAATCTTCCACTGCAAATACATAACAATAGACAGTAGTTAAGTCAAAAGATGTACTTTCACCAGTTTTCATTCACTGTGTGGTAAGTCATACTTAAGGTCTCTTAAGTCTACAGCATAGCCTAAAGAAATAGAAACAGCTTTAGGTGCTTGCAGTCCTGCCTTGAGCCTTTCAGCTGCTCAGGACAAGCCATATGGTTCACAAACACTGTGTTTGTAGAGACACTTATTTTTTTTCCTGGAAACAAAATCTATAATCCAGAGGTCAAGATCCTGTTTAAGGGAGAAGAAGGAAGCAGCTCTTGTTATAACCTGTAGAACCCTGAGCCCCCTAAGAGAGCAACAGCCCTCTCTCATAACACCATTAAAGAAAGAAGCTAACACCTCTACTACTCAAGATGAACAAACTTTGCTTTCCCTCTTCCAAAAGTGTGATTTTAAGTTGTCTGTTTTCAGTGTATGCTGTGTTGTGAGTTTATGCACAATAAACAACGTTGTAAGCATGTCTGCGTGCAGAGCTGACACACAGACTCACACAAGGGCCCTAAAAGAAACACGTTAGCACAAGTTCAGCGTCCATCAGACAAGGCCTAACATGCACCAGTTTTCGCTCCAATTCTCCTGTTTACACTTTAGATGTGGTATTAGTACAGCACCTGAGTTCCTTTTAGGTTATGAAAAAGTATATGCTCTGCCATACAGCCTACCATACTCTGCACTAGGAAGCACATATTGCAGTGTCAGGCTGGTCTGAAAATCTTACAAAGAAATTGTAACAGAACTCAATAAAGTCATACTGTATTGTTTAATTTCTTTTTCATGACCAACGTCTTTGTATTAAAACACTGCCTTTTATTACTTCATTGCCTTAAATAGCACATAGCACAGAGCTACACTCAAACTGCTCTTTCCTGCTTCTATCACACCGCTGCCGTAGATTTAACTCCATTTGTTTCACCAAGGGGTTAAGCCTTTGAAGGGATCCGATCACAGCTGCTGAGATCCCACAGCAAGAGTCAGAGGTGACCTGCCCAGCAGTGCATATAGAAAAGCTGAGCAGCAGCAGTGGGAATATAAAGCTAACTGATCATGTAGGCAGTATTTAGAATGGATCAGCACATCAACAGCAAGGACTTCTCTTGGAATTGTGACAAATCTGGACAGCCAGCAACTGGTTCACGCTTTGAAGAGGGTATTTTTGTTTTGCTCGGGGTTTGTTTACTGAGAAAGCTACAGCTACTCTAAAAACAAAAGGGTAATTAGAAGCAACATAGTATGCACACACACAGTTGTACCACATCAGATCATGCACTGTAAGTTCCATCATCTCACTCTATCAGTGGCCAGCAATAAATACATGACATACAGCATGAAAGGGAACACACTCCAAAGCCCCTCTCATCTTCCATGGATTTGCCACCATGGGACTCTAAACCAGAGGTAGGATTCAATAGCTTTTTTTTCTGCTAACTTGTGTGGTGGTGTCTTTTTGGTTGTTTTTGGTTTTGTTTGGGGCTATTTTTTTTTGTTGTTGGTTTGGGTTTTTTTGACAAACTGCAAGACTTACAGTGCTCTGTAACACTGAATTTCACAGCTTAACAATGCTGCAAGTAAACTACACTGTCCTTTCAGTATGAGCACCTCACTTGTTCCTCTTACCCCCCCACCAGCCTTTTCCATAAGACAGTGAACACCTGTCCTCTATTCACCCTCCCTATGCCACTAACAATGTTATCAAATTCTATTGTATTCTCTCTTTTCCTCATGCAGGATCTTCCAGCACAGAAGATCCAGGCTAAATAGCTCCTCCTGACATGGAGAGCAGTACTCTGAAAACCCGGTCTCCTCATTTTAAAAGGATATCATAGGGAGAAGTGTGGTAACTATGATCACTTAGAACTGAAGACTCAAAACCAACTGAAAGGTACAGAATGGCATGTTTTCTGTTTTATTCTCTATTTCTCTTCTAATTCTTCACACTTGGTTTGCTTTCCTGAATGCCACTAAGCATTGAGCTGACATTTTCAGTAATCATAACAGCTCTAAGCTCATCCTTCTGTAATATTAACAAGTACAGAGCCCATCACTGGAAATGCAAATTAGGAACATTCTCTCTCCAAGTAATTGGTGTGCATTTAATCAGCACTGAATCTCACATGCCACTTCAGCTGCCCAGTAATAAGAGGTCCTTTTCCAACAATGAAACATTAACAGTGTAAACAGAAAACAAGACTTGAAATATACATGGTTCTGAGTTCACTTCTGAGGTAAACACAATTCTGCTTCAGATCAGTATTTTCACCCAGCTTTCAAAGAGGCTGTTTCCAAGTCAGCCTCCAGATGGAAACAGTGATGCACTCATTACAACAGTCTAACAGAGATTCTGAGTCACTCAAATCTTGATAATTATTTTATCAAACCAAATAATGTTTTGGCAATCTTTCCAGGACAAAAATCCCATTAGTCTCCAGTAAAAAACCCACATTCATGGTTGTAGCAGGCAGCTCATGAAGACCATGGTAGGAAAATTTGTATGAAATTTCAACTAACCTTGAGATCACATGTGGTGTTAAGCAGCAGGTTTGAAGGTTTGAGGTCACGATGAAGCACATTGGCTGAATGGATATATTTTAACCCTCTCAGAATCTGGTAAAGGAAGTAACAAATGTGGTCGTTGCTGAGGTGTTGAGTCTTTAAGAGCTTGTAAAGATCTGTCTCCATCAGATCTTGCACAATGTATCTGTAAGGTGTTAGATGTAAGGCAGCAAAACAAACGTGGTCTTGTGTTACATACCAACATGAAGTACCCAATGAAACTTCTAGCACAATTTTTGTCTTATTTGTCTGTTTCATGACAATTATGAAACTACGTAGTTGCTTCTTGCTGCAAAATTTGGAATCAAATCAAATCAAATTACATGATGCAGCCCTTTACAGAATTAAGAGGCACCAGCATGTGCTCCTTTCAAATTAATCATCATAAACATCTACTTCTTTATCACAGAGCTTGATTTTTATTGGAATCTTAACTCCATCTGATTCCTATCCTTGCCAAGAAACCAACACTGGTTTTTAAGTTAATGAGTAATAAGCTTCTGAAATTCTTCTCTACTTCAAAAATTCACCTGTTGTTCTCTACTATATATATTTACTACGCTACATTGCACACAACAATCCTCTTACCATAATTAAACCCCAATATTTTCAGTCAGGTGATTTTTTTCCCCCTAAGATTGCAATTAATGTAAAGCAAAAGGATTTTTTTCCTGCTTTGTCAGGAACGAGTTAAGTAAAATTTTCTTCCCCCTTAATTCAATTTGGCTGCAAAACCCTTGGGGTTTAGTTCCATGATCACTTTTCACCAAAACAGTATTTAGTGAAAACACACTGCTACTGCCATTCCAGTTGGGCATTCCCATCCTCTCCTCTGGGTATTCATATTGGATCAGCAATCAGGACATCTTTTTACAGGCACCATGTGCTTACATTAGTCAGAATGGCCACAGAAATGCAACCTCAGAACCCCACATGGGACTGAACTCAAACAGTGTATTGATAATGTGTGAAGTGCAAATATTTGACCTGGATTCAATCCAACTTCTGCCTGCACATACTCAGGGCTTGTGTTGGACAGATACCTGCAACGACCCACAAAACTGGCAGGGACAAATACACATGGACTTGGGGAAATTCAGCTGAGTGACTTTCTCCCAAGACGTAACCATTCAATTATTCAAGAAACTTTTGGACAACTACAGGTCTGGCCATTTTAATTTCCCCTCAAAGCAACCAGTTCTAACAGCAGCTCTCTTAAGAGCAAATACAGTTTTAGGATTCAGCGACCAAACTAAACCCTCTCTACAGTGTTGCGCTCTTTGCCTTGAAAGATAGGAATTAACATTTTTCTCTTTTCCTGGAAAGGAAAGAAGAAAACTAGTGTTCATCTACATATCAAATCTATTAGTCTATAAACTGATTAATCACTATTAACTTCACTTTCAACTCACAACAGAACACAGCTTTTGTTAAAATTTAGTAAGGAAAAGGATGAAAATGAAGAAACAATTGAAACAGGAGGAGGCTATGCAGAATAACAACACTTGGAAAGGATACACATCTTTCATTTGTTCAATAGTTGGAGCTCTGATAATGTCGTTTATTCCAATGATATTCTCATGCCTGAAGCGCAGTAGGATCTTGATCTCCCTCAGAGTTCTCTGGCAGTATGTCTGATGCTCAAAAGGACTGATTTTCTTTATAGCAACTCGAACTTTGTTGACGTTATCATAAGCAGAACTAGAAGAGAATCAATAACATCAGTTATAAGGAATATTAAATTCATCCAATTCAGAAAGCAAGTATGTGACTTTAGTTGAATACAAGGGCAGTGCATTTGGGTTACATTTATTTTTACACTATAGTATACATAATATTATCACTCTGTCACTGGCCTATTTGGGTCTCTACAGCCATTAGCTTTCCCAACTGACTTGGAGTCTGCTGATTCTCAGATACCTCCACAAAGGAAGAAATATGTTTCCTTTATCAGCCTGTGGAACAAACAAGTCTGAGGTTTTTCCTATATGCTGTAATTATCAGACGTTTGAGAGAAGAAGTTCATCTTGAGTTAACTCATTCAAGTTGGGGCACAGAAAAGCCTTCAGAAATCATCTTTCAAGCAGCAGAATTCCACATCCTATGTCTAACTCCTCCAAGCAATATGCATTGTCACAGGCTTCTACTCCTCCACTCTACATTGTCAGCACCTCCATAAGAGACATGAAGGAACAAAAGGGATGGAGAATTTGTGAAAATAGCTTTCCAAGTTCAACTCCAAAGATAACAGAGTTTGAGAACAGAAAGATGTATCCAATGATACACACAGAGGAGAAGCAAGCACAGTACAATGAAGTACCATGGTGATCCTGACCCGTGTCAGGGAACATTCTGGCAGCTACACTTACAGGACTGCCATTCCAGGAGCTCATAACAGCATTCCCAACTACACCAATAAAGCAGGCTCAGTATTTCTGTTCACCATGCCTACGCATTCATGAAGAGTCTAATAAAAAGGCTAAGTAAAACATACATAATTTTCTAAACTCAGGACTCAGGCTATTATTTACTAAAAATGTTATGAATCCTTACAAGTTTTAGGATGATTACTATGGTCTTGTTTATATGAATGACAAAGCATCTTATAATCATAACTTTTACTTGCATTAAAAGTATAAGGTAATCTAATGAATTAGAATTTAAATGTGTGTGTATGATTCTTGGTCCTTTCAGATTTCTTTTTGCTCGCTACTGCATCGTTTGGCAAATAAAATAATAAAATAATCAAGCCTACATTCAAACATTTCTGTTAGCCTCAACTATTTTATATAAACAAACTAGCCAGAGAGGCTTCTCATCCCACCAATTTTCTATAACCGAGTCCCAGAACATTGTTTGAAACTCTGTTCATTAGCCTGGCTCTGCTGAGGTGCCCAGGTACCTGGTGAGCAGGTAAAGCAGAACGAAGTACAAAAATCCAGTTAGAAAACTAGACCTAAAAGGAATTCAAATGCCTGGTCAGGGCAAAGCTCTTCACCACTGAGCAAAGATGTGGTGCAACAAAGCGTTTCTGAGACAGTACTGTCACCACTGCATGCAAAAGTGCACTTTCACTATTAAAACTACCATATAATTTTTGTCATCAGTCAGATCTTCACACAGCTCATGGACATGTAACAACACCCTTTTTGCCTAGTTTCTGCCCAGACTCCCTCTGACCTGCCTGCATCCCAACCCTGGTCTGTAGCCACCGACAGACTGCACCATTTATCTGCCTCTAGAAACACTGAAGGCGACTGCTCCACAGGGTGCTTTAAAATGCCACATGCTAAGCAAGTATTCATTACAATTGTTGCTCTTGCATATGTATAGATAACACATTAGCAGTCTGTAAGTCCCAAAATAGATAATAACCAAGTGCCATAAGTGGAACTGGCATAGCCTTCAAGAGCACTTTGGCTACACTAATTTTCTCAGCTAATCACCTGCAGTGTTTACAATGCACCAGTAAGGTAGGTCACAAGCAGAAAACAAAACCAGAAATAACACTGAAGCTGAACAGCCTGGATTTGGGAAAGAAACGAAAGAATCCTATGGATCATTTTATCATCATAGGCACACCTTCTCCCTCCTGCTTTGTATTGACTTGAGCACTTTTTTCCCTCTCACAATACAGAATCTCACTGTCTTTCAAAGGATGGACAGCAGCAGCTATGCAGAGCAGAAAAAGGCAAAATGCCAGTATTTACCAATTGATGCTGTGTAAGTATTTAAAAGCTCCCAATCTCTTACAGTATTTGATAATCTCTTGGTTATTGCTTCTCAAGCAAAAGACTGGTTATTGATGAAAAATATGCATCTTTCCCTGTACAGATTCAATGAACTCGATTGAATTAATCAATTAAATAGACCAAGATTTCCTCTCTTGTAGCTGTTTCACTTGTAGTTCTCAAAGCATTTTCTTTAGCAAAAGGTTCATGCTCTTGTTTAGAAAAGGACAGGTAATTTCGCTTTCAGGTGGTTCAACTCTAAAACACAATTCAGTGTGGAAAAAAGCTGAGTATTTGCAGTAAAGATGCAATCAGTTTCCTCTCCATTGTACCTTCTTGATACAGTCATTTTTCTGTTTGTATCAGAAGATCTTGCCACACTAACATAGCTCAGCACGTACTGCTGTTACTGCTGCAAAGCCTCAGCTAAGGGGAGCAATACTGAAATCCTGCCTCATTGAAAACATTAAAAGGGACACTGGATTTATTTCTGTTGTCACACTTTTTGAAACGTGAGCTGTTCTGTACCTCCATTAAACATACAAGGGATTATCTCAATTCCTACGAGCAAGAAGCTAATCATACAAGCAGTGTGGTACTTGCTTATGCACAGTACTTTAAATGCCATGCATAATACAGGTACAGTGAGAATGTATATTGTCTGGTTAACACCATTTCATTTTCAGCCACAGCCCTCAAAGCAAATACAGCTTTAAGCAAACCCTGTGACCCTTTAGAAAAGTGCTTTTTCAATTTGACACATGCAACAGAAAACTGTAAAAGCTACATATTAGACTGAACTTCAGCAGAACTGAGGAGCCATGCTACAGCCCCCTACCTGACCTATGAAGCCATACAGCAATAACTACTTCACTACCCAGGAAACACCACAAATCAACAAAACTGGGTCCCTCTGTAGGCCAGCCCGAACCACTTCCCAAAGCTTTCCCTGTTCCCCACAATCTCCACCCTACTGCTCACTTCCTGCCACTAACACCAACTTTCCCCATTCCTCTCCACAATTCTGCTGAAGAAACATGCTGCTCATAGTGTCCCTTCGTAGTGTTTGCAAACGAAACCACTATAAAAGGTGCAACTCCAGGCCCCGGCTGCATTTCCCCCTGCAGTCCAAGGACAGCTTATCACTCCGGTTCCCCTCGCCCAGCCGCAGCTGGAACCAGCAATCTAATTTTACGACCAATACTCACCCGTGCTCCCCCTGCAGTCCGAGCGGGAACAGCTCCACGTGCACATCCCATCTGCCTTCCAGCGCATCCTAAATTTAGATTATTTGCATTCTGGGAGTGCTGTCTCAGTGTGCACAGTGTAACCTACTTGTCTAGGCTGTCAGCTTCTCCTAAACCTCACAACAGTTGCTTACATTTGCACGGAAACAGTTAACTGGGACACCTTTGAAAGGCAGGAACCTCCTATTGTCTTGACTTTTTTCCAAATATAAAAATCTGTAAAATGGGAATAACAGTTCACATACTAACAACTTCTGGAGTGCTCGTTAAGCATATGTACCCATCACTGCCCACAGAACTGTCCCTTTGCCTGTGTTACTCACATTGTGATGAGTCCAGTCATCAACACTTCAAATATTCACGGGAAGGATTTACTGCCACCCTAGTGATGTGCAGCCATTCAGCCGTGAGTGCTATTTATCTGTAATGTGATAAATTTAAATATAGATTTTGCAACTGCCCAACTCCAGTAGCCACAACATTACTCCTATTTCAAGCTGTGGTTACTATCCTGTGACAACCTGCAATAGCACCATTACTTAGACACTTTTACACCACTGTGTGAACATCAATACAGTACAGTTTATCACTCCTAACTTTAAGTATCTTGTAAATATATAGCAAATATATAGCGACGTTTTGACTAAGCAAAACATCAGCACAGCTGTACAAAATAAACAACTGAGCATTTATAACCAAAAATGTTGCACCACACAACTGTTAATGCCAGGGGTTTTTATCTTTCTACTGCTCCGGGACCAACTTCCCTTTTAACCCGAAGTCCAGGGCGGGGCTGCCCCAACGCAGTGCCCAGAAACGCAGCTCTGCGCCGCCCAGCACCCTGTGCCCCTCTCCCGTCACCGCCTCCTCGGGAGGGAGAGCTTTTCACCAGGCACATCTGGGCAAGTGCCAAAGCTCAGCTCCTTCTACCCACAATGGCTGCTGCATGTTCTTCCATCCATTTCTATTCCTCGCATGTTTCGTTTCGGAGCAGCCCTGGAACAAGTGAGAGCATGCTGCAGCTGCCGCGAGGAAAGCAGCCAGCTCCTGGCAATCCCTGCATCCCACAGAGGGCTGGTTCTGCACACAGCCACTGAAAAACAACTGCCTGCTCCGTCGCACCCCCTCCTCGGAGCGCTCCTCTGCCACGCTGCCTGCGGCTCACCCCGACACGGGACACTCTGCCAACACTTCCAGGGTTATTCCCCTTACGGCTGTTTTACAGGCTGCTCTCAGCACACACGTACACACAGAGAAAGTACACAACGCTACCAGCAAACATCCTAATGGCAACTCTAAATAAAAGACTGATTGGAAGTTTAAAAGGGATTTTTTTTATCAGTAGCTTTGTGTTGCTGTGGAAACAGGATTCCAAGGGCATATCCAGGGATAAGAATCTTTCTGAAATAGTGAATAATTCTGCTTACACCCAGAATAGGAAAGGCAAAAATAATTCCCAGCAAGCAAGCTGATCTATAGAGATCTTTAATCTTTTCATTCAGGCTACATTTAGCTCAATCATGGACATTTCCACAACATGCTGACATTTATCAAGTTACAATGCAAATAGCTTAAACTTATTTTTAAGACTGCTGTAAATAAAATAACGCAGTATTATGACAGAGCAATAACCAGCAATACCCCAACAGACTGCTCACTACAGTTTTGGGGGTGGAGAAAGGTGGCAGCAGCAGTGCAGATTTGCAGAGAGTTTTTTG